CTGACATTTTTGTAGGACTGGGAAGCTCTTGGGAAGCTCTCATCACCAATTCCTTTTGATTCTACAAGGAAAGCTTAGTTTATTTTAACTGTATTTAGTAGATTTTGATCAAAATCAATTCAAATCAGTTCAGTCTTATTCACATTTATTCACATTTATTAAACGTGCTATGAAGAGAAATGTAGAACAGCTATATGAGCACTGTAACGAGTGTAACGATGCAGATAAGTTGAAGTTAAGTTAAACAAAAAACAAACTTCAATGTCTAAAAAGCTCAATTCCAGCCCAGACTTGGTCAGGCTTTAACTCAACAGCATCTCAATTAACAAAAACTGTTCCTGCAAGAAAAGAATTCAGTCTTGTGGTCACCGTTTTAACTTTCATTCAGATTTCTGTCCTCCGAGCGTCACACCAGCAAATCAAACTCAAAGTGCACTTGATGCAAAGGTGTCATGCTGCACTTTCCTGGGACACTGAGGAGAATAAAAAAAAAGGTTAAATGCAGTCATAAAACTGCAGTGAATCACAAAGTGCTCTTATAATGCCGAACAGACAGCAGAACAAAAGCAACGCGCTAAATAACACCGGCACTCTGCTGACCTGTTTGATCACTCTGCCAGTGACTCTGTGGATGCTAAAAACAAAGAGCCGTTAATGCCTCGGCTCTATTATTAGCACCAAAATGCTTCCCCCCCCCTTATCTCCTGAATCCCTAATCCTTTGTCTTTACTTGTGCAAACAAAGATGTGAAGTGTATTTTTTTATGGATTAAACTACAGCTAATAGTTTTCAAGGGCCTGCTGTTCTGGAAGAATAAGTCCAAAAATACAAATGTTTTATTTGTGCAGTTCATGACAAAGAACCCGGCCAAGCGTCTGGGCTGCGTCGTGACCCAGGGTGGCGAGGAGGCCATCAAGACCCACGCCTTCTTCAGAGAGATCGACTGGGTACTGTTGGAGCAGAGAAAAGTCAAACCACCCTTTAAACCCCGGATTGTAAGAGACACACACTCTGCACAAACTCACACAGGCCACAGTTTTACATGCAGCTATTTCACACATAAACCTTCAGTAATGCATCGTGTATTTGATACTAAACATTTTTCAAGGCTCAGTAGTTTTGTGTACTTGTGGATAGGTATCCTAATTATTATTCTTTAGTTTTAAATTTACTTGGAATGCAGAAAGACTATATACATGACATATACTGAGCAGGAACCACACCAGCAAACTAGCAAAATACTCAGAAAATACTTGTTTCTCAAAATACAAATTTATCATTTAGCTAAAATCTCAACTGTAGCAGAACGAAACACAAGCTGCAATGTTCAGGTAATATTCGCTAACATTACCTGGCAATGGCTAAACAAAGAGAGCAGCACACAGCCAAAAAAAATGCTTCTTTTTCTTAGTCCACCAGGTGGTGCTGTTGAGTTTTGGGCTTCATTTGGAAGTTGGTAAAACAAAGATGGAGGCCTGAGAGA